GAATTTTCTAATTTTATTCTGTTGTTTGGTATCATTTACCATAAGAAAGAACCTGATTGACAAAGTTCTTTTTGTTTGATATTTATAGAAATCTGTGGTGCAACTATATAAGACATTTGATATTATTAATGTGACTTAAATAGGAATAGAATGTCTATTAAAAAGAATTATCCCAATAGTAGTCCTAAATATCAGCCACAATCAACGAGAACTGTATTGATTATCAGGTATGTCGAACTATAGAATCCAGATCCAAAGAGAAAAATGAATAGAAAAGCCCTAAAAAATAATGCAATTAAAATGGGATTGCAGAATGTGTTTTAAAACACGCTCATAAAATGTGTTCATTTAAAATTGAAACAAAAAATTGTATGTAGATACAGTTTTATAAAGTATAATTCAGAAACATCCTGCATCTGAGTCGTCACTCCTGTCACGTAACATCCCCCTGGCTAGTGTAACCCTGGCTGCAGGAAACACTCGAGATTCTGAATTAATTAGAGTGGCACTTAAGTATCAATATATAAAACAAAACAAACCAACCAAACTTTCAATAAGCATTTCTAACATGCAATCAGTGTTAAAAATCACACTGAGTGTATACATTCTTGGGCAGCAGCGACTCACCCAACTTTGCATCTTCTCGTCTTCATATCCTCAACACTGTACAAAGTCTCCTTCACAATATTTCTGAAGAGCAATTTTTAATTTTCTCATCTGGATTTGTCCCGTCTACCTCACCCCTGCCTTGGGCACCCTCTTTTGTCCCCCGCACTTTGGGGACTGCACTGCTAGTCAGGATGTTAAACTTCAGAACCCTGAGAGTAATTGTTTCTCCCCCAACTTTTTTTTTTTTTTTTTAAATATAACCGGTGAATCATAAAGTCTTCTCCTTTTTTTCTTCTAAATATTTCAAAGATCAGTTCACTTTTCTCTGCCTACCTTCCTACCAGTCAACAAAAGTTTCACACCTCGATGGTAGGCTCCTAAGTGGTCTCCTTATCTATAGGTGTTCTTCTATCAATAACACATTTCACCCAGAGTGGTTGTCCGAAGATGTAAATATGATGATACTGTTCTCTGCCTAAAACTCTTCAGTGGCTTTCACTTACTTAAATACCCAATGTGATTCAGAGAGAGTTTCAGGCCCTGGTTCTTCATCTCTCCAGCGGCATCTTCCACTTCATCTTCAGTCACCCACCCCTCCAGCCAGACTTAACTGTCACATTGAGCTACTTCCAGTTCCCTGGATGCATCTCTTTTCATATACTCTCCTCTATTTCTTACAGTATTGCGTCCTCCTTCCTTCAGCTTAAGATCATGGCAGCCTTCTCTGACCAGCCTAGTCTTGCTAGGTTACTTTTCTGTAAGCTCCTATAATATTTATTTCCTACAGAATAGCACTCATCTCACTATTGTAAATGTTTATTATATTTTCAATACTCTCAGCCAGTAGTCCCTCAAGGAAAGGAATTATTTTTATCTTGTATAAAGGGTCCACATCTAACACTTCAGTGGAATAAAGAATAAATGCATGTTTCATGGAGTACACATGGATACAAAGAAGAGAATAACAGGCAGTGGGCTCTACTTGATGGTGGTGGGTAAGAGGAGGAAAAGGATTGAAAAACTACCTATCAGGTACATGTTTGTTACCTGGGTAATGAAATAATCTGTAAAACAAACCCCTGTGACATGCAACTTACCTATACAACAAACCTGCACATATACCCCTGAACCTAAAAGTTAAAAAATAAAAATTAAAAAAAATTAAATTACACATTAATGGTTACAGTGATATAGTTTGAAGATTTGTCCCCTCCAAATGTCATGTTGATTTGTCGTCCCCAGTGTCCGAGATCACGTCTGCTGGGAGGTGTTTGAGTCATGGGGGCCGATCCTTCATGAATGGTTTGGTACCCTCCTCATGGTAATAAGCGAATTTTTGCTCTATTAGTTCATGCGAGAGCTGGTTGTTTAAAAGAGCCTAGCATCTCTCTTTCTTGCTTTCTCTTGCCATGTGACATGCCTGCTCACCCTCTGCCTTCTGCCATGATTGAGCAGATGCAGATGCTGGTGCTATGCTTATTGTACAGTATGCAGAACCATGAGCCAAAATAAACATCTTTTCTTTATAAAAGACCCAGACTCAGGTATTCCTTTATACAACACAAAAAGACTGATACATGTAGATAATTAGGATCTTTAGCGCTTCAGCCCAAAATGAAGATTGTACTAGGAAGATGACTGTCATGATAACAATTCATAATAATGTATGGCATTGATGAGTGATAACAGTGCTGGGCTCTATGCTAGGTTATTTACATTAATTTTATCACTTAATCATGGCAATCTTTCAATGTAGTTACTGTTATTTTTATTTTAGAGATGAGGAAACTGAAACTTTTAGATGTTATGTAACTTGTCCATGGTCCCATAGCTAGTAAGTGGTTAAGTCAGGTTTTAAATCGAAGCAAGGAATTCCAGTGACCACGTGGCTACACTGCCTTCACAATGTGGACTAGGGTAGTATTATAGTTCCTGGATTAAGAAATTTTACAGGTCATTATAATTATAAAATATAAAAGGGAGGGTAACAGAGGTAATGACAACTAACATGAGTTTGCTCTTTATTTTGCTGTTTACAATAGTTATAATCAATGATGCCATACTTTCACAAAACATCATTTTTCCTTAAACAATTAGGGGAAATAAGAATATCTGGAAAAGGGAATTCCTCCTAATACAGAAAATTGCCAACATTGCTTGCATTTTACTCCAACCTATACATACATTGTCCTTATATCAATATGTTGGATAGCTGGTGTCTGGAATCATTGTCTCTAGGGAAGTTATTAACAGCCAACTCGGGTTCCTAGTCCAGTTTTGACAAAAGGAGCTGGTGGCCTTGGACACGATTTAACTCCTCTGGGCTGCTTCATGTGAAAAGAGAGCACTTAGAACTGCATAAGCTCTCTGTCTTAGAGTCCATTAGCTATTTTTTTAAACCTTGAGCATTTTTTTTTTCATGGAAACTTCATCCTACAGTATAAGAAATGTTTTAAATCATTCATCCTTACCATATAAAGTTCATGATAAACTTATTTTTTAGATTAAAAAAAAAGTTTCAAATGACTCCAAACTATTACATAATAAATCATTTGGGGGAAAATTCTACACATCTAAGAAAAGCCAAACTTTGACAAAATTTCATGAGTATACATTTTTAACATATTAATAACTAAAGTATACAGTCTGATATTCGGGTCCAGGTTTTTATTTTATGCAAAAACTTCCTGAACTTTCATAATAAATGCATTAAGCATTTATTAAATGTGGCACATTTGACAACTGGCATATGCTGAGTTTGTTCATTTTTTCTTATCATCATAGCTATGAACCTACTTTAATGTGACATACTTACTAAATTGGGCAAGTTATATTCTTTTCCAATTATGGTAGTGATATTAAATTTTCTTCTCAAATACATTTTTAAACAGTTCATTTATTAAATATAAAACAGCATTGTTGAGTTGTATAGCAATTTATAAGAAGGTATATAGGTGCTCTGGTGGGTAACTCCACTTTGAGATACAAAACATTTAGGAATTTAGAGATGTCCAAGAACTTGAATTTATTAGGACTTCATACCAGTAATTAAAAATTTTCAGCAGTAGTGAAAACTGGTGGTCAGAGGTAATGTGTCTTAAAGATCTAAAATTCTAAGGCCAACTTGAATATAATGCAAAGAGAAAAGACTACAAATACATGTCTATGGATATACAAATGAATAATTCTAGTTTTATAAATCTAGGAAGTAATAGGGTTAATGGGCGGGGGTGGATGTTTGATTGTTCAGTTTGTTTTAGGTAGAGGTGTTCCAAATGACTTTAGACCAGAGGGAAAGAAGCCTGTTGGAAGGGGGATGGAATATCCTTGAGAAAGAAGAACCGATGAAGCAAGGTCCCAAGAGAAGAGGCAGGAGTGGGATCAAAATGATTGATAGAGGAAATGAAGGTCTCTGGGGAATGAGAAAATTAAAGAGAGAAATTGGTATAGAATGAATCCAGATGTTCAAAAAACAAACGAAATCTACCTTACACTTTTGTGCAGGTTTTTTTTCTGTTAAAATGTCTTTATCAGACATGGGGGGTCAGATTTTCCAGTAATCACCATCATGGGTACCCACATACTACAGTCCACCCATACGTAGGTATTTTTCAGATTCTCCAGATACAAAAAAGACGAGTAGGCCTATGTTCTACTAGATTCCATACAATATCAGGCTTATCACTTTATCAGGTAAGCATAGAAAGGCAGGTCATAAGCTGACATAAGTGTAAAAGGAAACTAATAGGGTTTTTAGGGAAAATTCTTTATACTTCATTGCCTCAGCTACTGTTCAAATGTTAGATGCATAGAAGATAAGCACATTTCAGATACTCTAACTTGTTTCTTTTAACCTACTTTCCTGAGGTCTTTAAAGAAACATGGCAACATTTTTGCCTAGGGAACTTTTTTTTGTAAAAGAAGTCCAAAGTCTGATTAAGTACATTCCTAAATGCCTTGATAGAGAAGGCAAGTTAGAAGGTTAGACTTAAGTAAAGGTGTTGTGAGTGAATTGACAGTCGTCCCTCTGTGTGTGTCGGGGAGTGGTTTCAGGATGCCCACATGTATCAAAAGTCTGGAAACTGGCCCCGCAGAATCTGGGTACAGAGAAAGTAGGCCCCTGGTATATGTGGGTTTTCCATTTTGTAAATACTGTATTTTCAATCTGCATTTGGTTGAAAAAAATCCATATAAGTAGATCCATGCAGTTCAAACATATATTCAAGGATTCACTGTATTTGTGTGAGTTGAGGTTTGTAATTGTAAAAGCACTATTTAAGCCCAACTTTTATCTCCACAATCCAGAATTCTCTCTTAAAATATATTTATGACAGAGCCATCTGTCTCTTCCAACTGGATCTTTAAAAAAGCAGAAAACCCAAACCACGTGGTGACTTTAAATGATAAACTTTTATTCTGAATATACTGTTTTTGCACAAGATTTAACACAACATTTTCTGGGATTATAAATATTTTATAACAGTATTATACAAATTTTTACAAAATGTTTTTATCAGGCTAGATAATTTTCACAAAAGTGTCAAGAGAACAAAATAAAGGGGAGAAAAAATCTATTGTTCACAAAAGCCAGTTGGCCTTTTGCATGAATGCACACCATTTTAATAAAAGTATTCCTAAAAGCATGATCTGACACTCACACAACACAACAAAAAGACAGCTTGACTAGGTCACATTATAAACTGAATTGGCATCTACACAAGACAGTATCCCATTAGTTTCAGTGGAATTTCTTTGAGATAACTGTGTGAACTAGAAATAAGGTAGATGAAACTATTGGTAAGGGTTGTTTAATTCTTTAAAAATCTGGAATTTTTTCAACACTCAATATATTGTATTGGTTTTCTCTTCACAGAAATATAATGTGAATATTAACATTCTGCTATGGGAAACAATACAAGTTTAGATGAAAAAATATTTAAAATTTTGGGCAAGTGAAATAGTCATTCCATTCTATTCTTTTAAAAAAGTCACAACATCCATTTTGTTTCACTAGGTCAGACTATACCATTAAACATTTTAACGTCTAACATGATCAGTGGAATAGATCCAGAGTTTTAAATTAAGACAAAATTTAAGCTTTGTTGGTCACAGACAGAGATTTAAATGAGATTTAAAATACAAGAGAGCATCAAATAAGCAAGTAACACTTGGGTTGCAAAGGTCACTTAAAAGGGATACTGCCTATTTGAACCCCATAAGGCCAGTTTTAAAGTTAATAAAAGGAATATTATAGGAAAACTTACAAATGGCAGCAACACTGTTTTTTTTTCCCCCCAAGTTAAGCAGTAATGCCTCAAGCATTAGAAACATGAAAAAAGATCATACTAAAATCTTATAGGCCCAGGACCTAAAAATCTCTTCAATCAAACTTGCTAACTATGTCATGTTAAAAACCTGTTACAAATATGGACCACGGTTGGTGTTTGGCAGTAATGCTGGTTGTTTAAATGAGGAAAATATAAAGAAATCATTAATGCAAAATTCTTTCTTGTTACACAACACCATCGCCAAGCTTACTTGAATTCTGTTTTAGTGACTAACTACATTAAGCCACATGAGGATAACAAAAATTAAATAGTAAAAGCAGTGTATAAATTTTTTTATTGATCTTTTATACTGTTCAGTCGTTGGAAATCAATATTAATAACAGGCTATAATTTAAGTTCTTGTCAACATAACTCACAGAAAAATACTAAATGTAATATAATAATTTGATGGGATGAGTGTTACTGTCTTAAAGAAAAGTATGCTAAAAGCATGAAGACTAATATTAGTCATGGGAACAATTTTTAATCAGCTTGTTCTTACCCAATTTATAATTGTATTTGTCAACTTGTCAATAATATATAACTCTACAGCAGAAAATAAAGGTTTATAGCAAAACTCATGCATATAAATATATTTTGATGGCAAAAGAAATCAAATAGGATCCTGCCAAGAGATGCCAAGTTTAACTGCGATTAATACAGTAACAGTGTAATTGATGAAAACATATAATCGACATTAGCCATGAAAATATATTTAATAGATTTTGAACATAATTTTAAGGTAGTTTGTTGTATGCTGGAAGCAATTCAATTGTTTTAATGTGCATTGTTTATATACACAAACTAACAATTTTATATTTTGATACCCCCTTCCCAACAGTATCATGATTTAAGATAGTCTAGCAAAAATTGAACAATGACTTTTAAATATTGAACAAACAACATGATTTAAACATTGTTACTAGAGTGAGAAGTTTTTTTCCACATATATTTTAAATCACTTTGGTGTTTTCTAAAATATCAATACCAGTTATGAATGACACTACAAAATCACAACAATGCATTAGAAATGGTAACTGATGTCAACTCTTAGAACAATAGTTGGCAAAGTGATTCCATTTCCCCCTCCCCCCTTTTTATTGAAAAAAAAAATCTTAAATAAAGAAATGTACACAAATGGTACCTAAGGTATATTGGTGGTGAGAGGGAATTACAAATGTATGCAAAGCTAAAAACAAAACAAATATTATCTTTTAAACTACGTTAAATTATTGGTTATATCTTTGATATGTGGAGCATATTAAAGCATGCTGGATAATGTTAATAACTTTGACTTAAAAAGGATATGTAAGAAAATTTCCAGCATATACACATACCTTTAATTGGCATGTTCCAAAAAAAGAAAAACTGCATTTTATCATAAAAAATATCTACATACGTTCAGCCTTCAGTAAAATTATTAACTATTCTTAGAATTACACATTCATAGTTTTTACCCTTTCTTCAAATACTGTTTGCTCCAGAAAATAATTTTTAAAAGCATAAATAATCTGCTACCGTATTAGTCTATAATGAAATATCTGATTTACTACACTAACCATTTTCACCAATGAGGCTGTATAAAAAACAACTTTTATTATTCACAATCAAGTATTCATGTGCATACATAGAGATTCAAGGTTTCCTATTTGTTCAGATTATTGTAAAACCCTTATCAAATTGCATGGAAATTTTGGTCAAACGATCATACCATTTAAAATGGAAGGGCAAAAGCAGCAGTAGCAGGAACTTTTGGATTGTATGTGCTACCATTGAAACGAACAAAGAGGAAACCTAGGATGAATCTTCATTGAGAACATATATGTACTTTTCAAAAAATAAATGTGTCAAATCTGATTTATGTACTTAAAATATCTGTACATAGGTTATCAGGCGAAAGCACGAATCTGTATAAAATTCATTAATTCTCATTTCACCATTTATCTAACCCCAATCATTCAGCATTTACATTGCACAGTATATTCAGAGTAGTTTAACAACATTTTAAAAGATGACTTAAGTGCATTTACACTGCAAGGTTCAGATTCTTACATAACAATAATATCACTCAGTTAACTTTTCAATGACTACACTCTACAGTAAGAGAAAAAAGAACTGAAAAGTTAAAATAGCAGCAGCATCATGCAAAATACCCTTGGTAAACCAAAGTTCATTTATCACAAGAAAAACATTTCCCCCTCCCCCCAACAAGCTTTTCTTAGAGCATTTTTAAATATCTGGCTAGCACTACATTACTGTGAACAAAAGAAACATTACATCAAAGCACTTATTAAGGGCTTGCTTACATTTATAAGGAAATATGTCACATATTCTAATTTCTCCCTCAAGCACCTTTAGTTTAATAATTTCTTAGGTACTATTTTCAAACCATCAGTTCATTACTCCATCAAAATTTAATTGGTCATCAATTGTGTTTTATTTTTGGCAAAGAAGCCATTCTTCATAAGGCATTTGATTCATGGCAAATTTTTCATAGAAAATTAGCCATTATTTGTGTTTCAACAATTTAGACCAATGTTAATTCTTTCTCTATACATTTCAGTAATTTATACTCAAAGCAGGAATTAAGTTTTAACAGAAGAATAAGTGAAGGCAAAAATAATTTCTTTCCCCTTAGAGATTTTCTTAGTAAAACTGCAACAAGTCAAAATTCCAGGTCAATATCAAGACATTTCTTATGATTCATAAACAATTGTATGGGGAACCCTTTCACATGTAATCACCAACAATGCAACAACAAACTCCCAAATTTTCCAATAGAGGACACGTATAGGATTTTGCTTTGATGTTATACATAGATGATGCAGCATTCACACACGTTTAAGGATCTGACACCCTGACATGCAGCCAGTGGGTGCCTTAGGAGTCTGCGCTTTAGTGTTATGCCATGGTATAGGCCCAGGTAATATCTGTCTGATTTTATAGCTGACCCTACTTTAATGTAATTGAGGGCTCATGTTCTGGCAGGGTCTGGAGTTTAATTATGCAGATTTGGTTTCAGAAGGTCACAACAGGCGGTGTCTGCTGCCAGATACCAGCCAAAGTAGTAGAAACTGGATTCCGAAGATATACCACAGGGAGGGATTTAATCCAGAAACACCACCACAGTCAGTATAATCTTCCTGTTGTAAAAAATAAATAAATAAAATAAAAATAAAAATCTTGAAAAATCTTTAGTAACACATCTTTTAGAGTAATCCATATTTACTTCACTTCTGAACTTACCTTATAAAATTGCTTTAACTGAAATCCAAATAAATCACTTTCTCCTGGATTTTATCATTGAGGAATTTTGGTTAAAGCAACTTCCCTAGCATCATTTGACAAATGCTTTAAATTTTTAGTTGTAGATTTTTATGATTATGAAAGAAAATAATAAATGCTGTTTGAATAATAATTTTAAAGTAAAAACTTTCATAGTATCAAAAATCCTATATATTTATAAATACAAGAAGTGTAAAATTTAATAGGTTTTATAATTCCCAAGAATTATGATTTTAGCAACTATGCTCCATATGGGAAAGTTTGGGACTGATAAATACATTTCCATTTCCCATGTTTCTTACACAGTTTCTAAGGTTCAACATAGCGTGCAATCATAGCATCTGGACCTTCATCAAGAATTAAAGTAAAATGAAGAATAATGTATTTGAACCATAAACAATGAAAGGACACGGAAAATACATATCCAAAATAAAGAGCTAAGCTAGGAAGAGATTTGTCTTGAGACAATGAAGAAATATTAGAATGAATGTACTCACATTAACTCCCCACGGTCTAGTGGTAGCTCATTTAGTTCCCTCTTAATGCAAAAGTATTATTCATCTTTTATTCCTAGGTTCTATATTTGATAACAATTTCCACATCCTTTAATTCCTTTTAACATAGTGAATTTCATTTTTAAAAACCTCATATTTATTTACTTTTTATTTAATTTCTTTTTATTTAATTTCAATAGTTTTTGGGGAACAGGTGGTTTTTGGTTACATGGATAAGTTCTTTAGTGGTGATTTCTGAGATTTTGGTGCACCTGTCACCCAAGCAGTGTACAATGCACCCAATGTATGTAGTCTTTTATCCCTTTCCCCTCTTCCTCCCGAGTCCCCAAAGTCCATTATATCATTCTTATGCCTTTGCATCCTCATAGTTTAGCTCCCACTTAGAAGTGAGAACATACAATATTTGGTTTTCCATTCATGAGTTACTTAGAAAAATGGTTTCCAACTCCATGTAGGTTGCTGCAAATGCCACTATTTCATTCCTTTTTATGCGTGAGTTGTATTCCATGTTGTATATATACCACATTTTCTTTACCTACTCATTAGTTGATGGACATTTAGGTTGGCTCCACATTTTTGTAATTTTGAATTGTGCTGCTATAAATATACATGCGCAAGTGTCTTTTTCATAAAATGACTACTTTTCCTCAGGGTAGATACACAGCAGTGAGACTGCTGGATCAAATGGTAGTTCTACTTTTTGTTCTTTAAGGAATCACCATACTGTTTTCCATAGTGGTTGTACTAGTTTACATTCCCACCAGAAGTGTAAAAATTTGGTTCTTTTTTTTTTTTTTTTTTTTTTACACATCCCATGCCAACATCTATTTTTTGATTATGGCCATTCACGCAGGAGTAAGGTGGTATACATTGTGGTATTAACATGGCATTTCCCTGATTAATTAGTGATGTTGAGCAATGTTTCATATGTTTTGGCCATTTTCATATCATTTTTTAAAATATGTCTATTCATTTTTTTTTGCCACTTTCTGATGGATTATTTTGAAAGACCATATATTTAAACATCTTTTAAAGAATCTAATCCAGTAGATGTTCTAATAATCCAAAAATAAGGTTGAATAATTTTACAAAGATTCTATGTTCCCAAAGAATAAGAACTTGACTATTTTCGTGTCACCAGGATTTAAATACAGTGCTGCCACATAGTAAATATATAAAAATTATTTCTTTAATTGTATTTTAAGGCAGCAGAACTATTTTGTTTGTTAAGAAGAAAGCTGGGAGAAAAGAATCTATGAAAACTAATTTTGTTTCAATCAACTTACCTCCCAAATCCTAACAGATCATAAAAATAACAATATTAGTCTTAATCCTATTGACCTTTCAGAAGCATTTGACCAAATATTATAGACATTGTCTCCTTGAAATACCGTTCTTGGTATCTGTGCTAACCCACTCTTCTGGTTTTTCTGGAAACTTGTTTGTGTATTTCTCCTTGCTTGACCTCCTTTTCTTCATGCTGTCTACCAAGTTGAGACTGTTCCTAGGTGTTACTTCTGCTTTGTCTCTTGTCTTTTTTCTTTACAGCACTTTGATTCCTAGATGATCTATCTGAGCTACAGGCTTTAAATTTCATCCATTTACCAAATAACTTGCTCTTCTATATGTCAATCCTGTATTCTCCCTCTGGTCTCTGAATTCATTGAGCTACTACTTTCTCCTCTTGCTATGATGTCTCATAGGGATTTCAAACTTGACTTGCCCTAAGTATAATTCTTCTCGGTATCAGAAATAGCACTTTTAGAGTAGGCAGATAAGGCCAAAGACTACAAGTAATGTACGATCCTCTATTTTCAAATCAATCCTGTTTTTTTTTTTTTTTTTTTTGAGATAGGGTCTCACTCTGTCACTCAGGCTGGAGTGCAATGATCTTGACCTCCCTGGGCTCAGGTGATCCTCCCACCTCAGCCTCCCGAGTAGCTGGGACTATAATAGGTGTGCATCACCACACCTAATTTTTTATATTTTTTTGCAGAGTTGGGGTTTCAGCTGGGAATCCATCCTCTAACTCTAGCTTCAAAATACATCCCCAAACCTACTGCTTGTCACTACTGCAGGTCCAAGTCACCATTACTTCTTCCTTCCGTTTTGCAAAAGCTGCCTCACTTGTCCCATGGCTTCTACTCTGCCCTTTTGCAAATGCTTCTCCAAAAAGCAGTCTTCTTAACACCACACATTCTTTCACTCCCTGCTCAACATTTCTCATCATTCTCAGAGCAAAATCTACATTCTTTATTAAGGTCTACAAAGTCTTATGAGGTCTGGAGCCTGGCTGCCTCATCTTCCCACTTTTTCCTCTCCCACATACTCACTCTGCTTCAATAACACTGGCTGCCTCTGCAACAGGCCAAGCTCTTTAGTGCCTTTGCATTTGTTTTGTTCAGATGCTTTTCTCTCCAGGTAGGGTAACCAGATAAAAAACAGGGTACCAGTAATAATTGAATATGAGATTAAAAAAATACTTTATATAAATGTATTTCACACACAGAAGAGTGGCTAGATACATAGTAACGATTTGATAAATGAATAGTAGGTACTCAATAAAGCAGCACACACTGACTGGTTAGAAACACTATGAGGTATTAACTTAAAGAAGTTATTGTCACTTAACCAGGAGTACTCCCCAGTTATGATTGTGTTAATTTGAATAAAAATTACCACACAACAAGACCCATTTGTGTATTAAGAATATATTTTGTCATCTTTATAATCTACAAATGTGTTACGGAAAGAAAAATATTCTCTTTGGCCCTTATTTCAGTGTTTTTATTTTTATATTTGGGTGTTTTTTGTTTCATTTCCTCTGTGTGATGATGAGATATATCTGTTTCGATGGGAGGTGGTAGTTTAGATAAGTTATTGGGGCTCCCTGTAGTCTGCATGTCAATTCACACTGAAAAATGTGCCTTTTAAGTTTCCTGATCATGTCTTCCCGTACATTTTGCATGGTGCAACTCCATGTAATGTATTTCATAGAATCATTTCAAGTCTTATTATGGGATACATTCTAAATCACAAATGCCCTGATGTGGGAGCAACCCAGCATTATCTCTGTCCTATAGAGACTGAAATCCCACTGACAACCATGACCAGATATAATAAATTGGTCTGATTTTTAAACGATTATTTAAGTAGAAAACAACATATTGGTACTTTAAGTTTAGAACATTAAAATGGAAGAAGAATCAGTGCCAATATTATATATTTATTTTAAAATATGATAAAACTAATTTTATTAGACTTCCTTATAGGGGAACGTCTCCTAAAAGATTGTGTTGTTAAAGATATCAACTGAGACTCTTTAGTCCTTTCTTTCTCATTACTCTTTAAAAAATCTAAACCATAGTAAAATTCATATGGTATTTGCCCCCAAAGTTTTCTTTATACAGCATGTGTTACCAGTGACTAAAATCTTTTGAATTTACTGTTGCTAAACTCTTACTTTGCTTTTCTTTCCCCATTCAGAATCTGGGACAACTAATGGCATACAGTACAAGCTTAATAATTTTTAATTTATTAAATTTAGAAATACATTTTTCAAAAGAAAATGTTCTGGTCATTTGGCTAAAAGGTTTTTGATCTATTTTTTTTTTCTGAATTACAGCCATCATTTAATTTCCTTCAAAATGCAAATCACTGTTGAAGACAGCCATCAAATCATGGATTAACTTTTGAATTCAGGTAAGTCTGTACTAAAGTTACCACCAGCAACTTCAAAGAAAATCTATATTTAAAAATTTTTAGGCAGGTAGATACTGCATAATAATAGGAATAATGCCCCCAGCAAATAATTTGTTCTCCTACATGGCACCTTAACACTCTTACACATTTACTCGAGAGATAGGCAGTATATTTATTCAACTCTTTAAATGTAGACAGATTATGTACCCAATAATATGCTTTATAAATTGGGTTTGCATAAAATAATTTCTCAATGGACAGAATTGGCTTGCCTTACTTCTTTGATTAATAAATGTTAGCTTTTTCATTTGCTTTTGTACTTGTGTGTGACTTGAGTCTTCACAAAGCTTCTTATCAAAAAGTCTTGTTTGAACACTTGAGTTCTGATGCAGTCATCATGGTATGGAGCTTCATAATTGTTTATGTATAATCTTTATCCTTCTGGAATCTACAGGATTAATGGCCCTTTGGTAGGCTTTGGAGATTACACTACCATTCTACCTTGCTTGTGAGCAGAACCTTATCCAACAGAAATTGCTAGTTTTAGCCAGACTATATTGGAGCATAGACCATGACCTTTATTGGTCCTTAATGTGGGAAACAACTGCCAACTAACCTTTCAGTACTTTTTGTAATGATTTTTTTTCAACTTAATTGTTTCAGAGAAAATAATACTTCCTCTGATATCATTATATCAACATTCAAATAGCACTAAGGGGATTCACTGTTCTATACTGATAACTGTGTTTTTAAATACTGAAACCACATCTTGTTAATGTAAAATATACACCACCTATATTATGTATTCCTGTGATATAATAATATAAAGGAATCTCAAATGTGTTCCTTTTAGAGATCAGGATATAGATTATGCAGCATCTACAATTATGAAGTTCCATACCATGAGGACTTCATCAAAACTCAAGTGTTCGAGTTTTTGATACAAGCTTTATGAAGACTTAAGTCACACACAAGCAAAAAAGATAAGCAAATGAAAAAGCTAACATTTATTAATCAAAGAAGTAAAGCAAGTCAATAATTGTCCATTGAGAAATTTATTTTATGTAAACCCAATTTATAAAGCATATTATCCGGTACATAAATATCTAGTTGAGTCCATGGTGATATATAATTATTTCCATGATAGATTTATAATGTATCATAATAGGAAAATGTTACTTTGTGTGTGGGGGGGGTGGTCTTAGGTTAAAAAAAATTTACATTCACTGTTGCTATAGGATTTTTTATTTTTTTTTGGAGACGGAGTCTAGCTCTGTGATCCAGGCTGGACTGCAGTGGCACAATCTCGGCTCACTGCAACTTCCACCTCTCAGGCTCAAGCAATTTTCCTGCCTCAGCCTCCAGAGTAGCTGGGACTGCAGGTGCGTGCCACCATGCCCAGCTACTTTTTGAATTTTAGCAGAGATAGGGTTTCACCAGGTTGCCCAGGCTGGTCTCAACTCCTGACCTCAGGTCCACCTCGGCCTCCCAAAGTGATGGGATTACAGGCGTGAACCACTGCGACCAGCCATTGCTATAGGTTTTTAAGAGAAAGGTAAAAAGAGAGCTGGCCTACTCAAGACCAATACTTATATATTTTTTAGTGTAATTGATAACCTATAAATCTTACTTAAAAATTCTATGATCGAGAGAAGTAAGCTTTTGAATGAAGGGAAAATAAGGACAATTATGGAAACATATTTGGTAACACTTTTCTTGTGTAATCGTTGACTACCTATGAACTTCTTTAAGGAATCAATAATATTTCAAATAGTTGCATACATATCAATTTTTAAAATGTTTATATGAAGATATTTAATTTTAGTATTTTAATTATTACAGTAATGTTTCCTTTGCTTGGAGTCTTTTGCCATGAAAACCATTCTTTTATTATCCCAGAAGACAAGTGGTTATTTTCTGAGACTCCCTCTGCTATTCTACTCCCCACCCTCTACCACCCCTGCCTGTGAATTCACTCCATTCATAGTAATGGCCACATCTCCATCTAGTGGCTTCCTAATCAATGACTACCTGGAAACCGATGACAAACACAACAGTGTGTGCTCTAGTAACACAATCATGATGATTCCAGAGCATTAGAAAAGAAATTGCAAAACAGTAAATGAAGAACTAAACGCAAATGCAAGCGCCGAAACCTCTCTTTAGTAGTACTGAATACAGAACTCAGAAATTTCTTCAAAGGTTAATAATTTTGGGCTAGATAATGTAATATTAAATAAAATGAACTTAGAAACTGGAAGCACTTATTCTAAAATATTTCAATATTTTGAGAGTAAAAATCTAAAAAGTTATTTAAGTCAGATTTATTTTAAAAAGTAGAAAAATCTGAAAGGAATTAAATTTGCGTTAGCATCTTTTGTAAATAAACTGAGATAACCACCTCTAAAAATTGTCATTAGATAGTTCTCATATCATGAAGCATGTATATTTGTCTCTGCAATGACAATTTTTATGTAAAAATGATTTTTTTCATAAAGTTTTTGTATAAATATTGAAAACTAATATGTTTCATTTAGGATTAGAAATTTACATGCCATTTGAAATCAGCTATTTCCAAAACAACATTGGTCCTGAGATTTTAATAACCTAGTTTCAGGAACATTAATATTATAGATTTAGGGATATGAGTGATTTTCTAAAATTTCAAGCCAAAAACAAAAAGAAAAATTAGAGAAAGTGACTGACCATCCACACCACATGAAAACTTGCAGTAAAATGAAGATAGGAGCTGACATCATGGTACAGGCACCACTCGTTGTGCATTTAAGTTGATCCTATTAATAACGGGCAAAGTAGCAAGTACAGGAAAAGGAAAGAAAACACAGAAAAGAAGACATACAAGATGAAATTTCATGCAATTTGCTGGCAGTTAACGTGAGTCTCCATCCAGAGCAGATTCACAGTGACCATTGCAAATAAGCATTACCAAAATACTCCACTGCTAAAGAAACACAAGATATTATTAGCACACCAAGCTACTGAGCAACAGTTGTACTTTCACACACAACCTGTTTATAGGAGCTTCAATTGCTGAACATTTTTGTCTTGGTCAAATCTTTTTAATGCCTTGATGATAAGATAGAGCCTCCTAGAATAATATTTTGGGCAAGAGGGTTTTTATGTCATTTTTTCAAGTTCATCTGAATTTAATATTCCTACTGTCAAAAAATGGTGGCAAATAGTTGATGAGTGAAGCTTCTCTAATGAGTGACATGACCCTTGGTGCTTCATAAAATATTCTTTGGGAAATAATTTTACATGGGCAACTTGCTGAAGGTGTAGTAGGCAGAATAACATGAGTCCTCCTATCTGGACTTTAAATGTCTTAAGGAAAAAAAAAAAAACAAAACAAAAAAAACAAAACCCCTTAGTGGCAATGTTGAAATACTTTCCCTAGCAAGGATCAATAATCCCTCACAGAGATAACTGGGATTGACTGGCTAATACATCTTGAATTTTTTAGTCCCCATCACTGATTTTATTTCTTTCTTGGCTCCATTTTTTTTTTTTTTTTTTTGAGACGGAGTCTCGCTCTGTCGCCCAAGCTGGAGTGCAGTGGCGCGATCCTGGCTCACTGCAAGCTCGGCTCCATTTTTAATTTATATTATCTGTGAAATGTTTTATCCTTTCTGGGACAAATGCAGCTATGTATTTGAGTAGGTAAACCTCTTCTAAATAACTCTTAAAAATGCACATTAATCAATAGATGTTCTGACCTATTTTTAGAATAAACAATTTATGAGATAATGCATTACACGTTTGGATGCTCATTGGTGTGTGCAAGCCACTTCATGCGGTGGCACACCTTGAAGAATCAGAATTGGGAAGTATTGTATTTAAAATTAGTTAAAAAGAGGTGGACAGAGATTTTTATGTGGACTTCATCTTTGAGAATAGATTAGTATTTCTAAAGCATAAAGCTAATGTATTACATACTGATGATGTATTACCTACCTTGTACATAATCAATACACAATAAGTCAGAATAGTATTTATTAGGGAAAGATAGATGAACTATAGGAAACGTAGTAGGCCATCTTTAAGTGACATATATTTAATATGATTTGTAATATTTTATCAAACTAACCCTGTGTAATTGACCTGGTCTAATTTCAAACACCAGAAAAAGAAATTAAATAATACAAGTCTAATATGTGATAGAATCAGAAACCATCCAAAAGAAACTAGAACTCCATAATAATAAGACAATGGCTGTATAACAGGTTTTTCAATTCACTGAAGACGAATATAATTTTTATATCTTCAGGATTGGAATATAAATAGAGGCAACAAATATATCATAATTAACATTTACTATGAGTTAATTATTTATTAATCTTGAAAATCAGATTTATGACCTTGGATTATTAGTCAATTGATTGGAATTGTGTTTGAAAGCACAATTTCTGTGGGAAGGACATACAAAAGAAGCAACTGTTAAGTTTATGCTAACCATGAAAACTACTGAAATGAAAAAAATCTACCAGCAAGTATGTCATGTTAATGAGAAAAACTATGGTTAAGACATTATGTTTGAGTTAAATTGTCTCCTTGAATTCTTGTGGCCAGTGAGCATTAATTTATAGTATTTCAATCCAGTAGAAGTGTGATCTTACCAAGACATTGTTATCAAAGCAGACATCAGGCCCTTTTCGGTATCTGGGTTGCTTAACCATGTCACAAGGATTTGGACCATCAGCTAAAGAGGCTTGTTAAGGAATCTCTTGTTAGTTTTTTTTCCACATGACTAAAAATAAATACAATGCAATGTATTTCCCGAAACATGTAAGAGATAACTTATACATCATTACTCTCATCCAACACAATTCAAGTACATTGGGATTTAAAGAACTAAATTGTGAATTATCCTTTTCTGGGGCATGTGTAGCATAATTATTCTTGACATTCCAACCAAATTTTGAGTGAGGAATCCATTCTGCCTTTGCGAGGTGATCAGAGCAGTCTAATATTTTTCCTCTTTATGAGCATAAACAATGTGATAAGATTCAAAATGCATTATTTTAAGATGGTTTTCCTTTCCAGATAGCTCTGACGTCAAAGGATACAAGTCTGTTCTGCTTGTATGAGCAGTCGTGTGTCACAGGGACATGTCCCTTTGCTCTCAACCATTATGAATATTAAGTTGGTGTTCATAAGCTTTTCGCCATGAAAGATTCTGCAAAATATGATATCACAGAAAATGAGTATCTTTGTCAAAATAAATGGAAATATTTCAAAGATTCTTACATATTAAAATGAAAGACAAAATATGACATTTGAAACATAAACCATTCCAAGCACAACAGGAGTATGATTTTAGAAGAAAAAAAAGTTTCATTTATTAGTGTGAAAATATTACCTATGTCAAATGAATAAAAAATTGCAATAGATGTTTTATGTGTGACCATTTTAAAGTATTAGTTCTCATTGCAAAATAAGCACTTTTTAGTTGTTGATGCACATAGAAAAATTTCTTTACACTTACAAATAATTGTGATACTTATCACTGAAAATATGCCAAAGTTGCCTTATTTTACAGATAACACAACAGGGAATACAAAAATGTCTAGGCATCTTGCCCAAACTAAGGGCAGAGAAAAGTCCGGAACAGTGCTATTAAGCAAAGTTTCTGTGAAGATGGAAAAGTTTTTTGCACTGTCCAGTATGGTAAATACTAACCACTCAAGGGGTATTGGGCACCTAAAATGTGACAAGTGTGACTGAGGCACAAAATTTTAATTTTAATAACTGTAATTGAAATTTCGATGGCCACCTATGGGTGGTAACTACTGCATTGGACAACACAGACATGGACAGAATCAAGGGTTTTGAATTCCATCCCCTGTTTTGTCCACACCTTAAGCTGCTCTTACTTTAGTAACCAACACAGAAAATGTAAATATATATCACTAAAAAAGTAATTTCTTCATCATTATACATTTTGCAGAAAAGTGGGATTTTCTTTTTGCTCTGTTAAGCTTTGATTTCCATAAAACAAATCAAAAGGAAAGTATGATTCAATTTAATGTCTTGGTTATATTGACCTTCACTTTACAATTTAACTTACTTCTTTAAGCACACGTTGCTCTTGCTGGATGTCAATTAATAAAAGGCCAATGACTGTGAAACTCTGATGTATCCAATAAATATGCCACAATTCCATTTCCTGAGGTCCATAGCCTGATACGCTAATCTCCTCTAAACAAGATAGTCTGCTTTTTTGTGAGTTCATGCTTGACTCCTCCCCCTCTTTCTTCTCCTCTTCATATATTCTACCTCCTTCTTGGACATAGAGGTATGCTAGAGAAAGTCATAAAACATACCACGTCTACTAAAAATTCATGAGAGGTTGCTTAGCCTCTCTTGCAAAAAATTTTTTAAACTATTCTGGCACTTTCATAATCTCAGATTACCTCACCTCCTCCTATTTCTTCTTCTGCTATGGTAACATTTCTTCTAAAATAACCTGCCCTCCACCTCTAAAAACAAAGTGTCTCTACTCTGTGCTTTGTAAGCTGTGACTTGCTGCTCTCTTCTCAGGAATCTTGTGGCATTAATTATTACTTTCCCCTCAAAATCCCCATCTTGCCTTTCTCCTCTATCCTCATTACAATAAAATTAAATTCTCCATCTCTTCCCAACATTGTAAAAGATATTTTATGGATACTGACTAAACATTAACCATGACCTAAGAAAACTGTATTTTTTCCCAGTTCCTTCAAATTCAAATAAAGATAACATTCAGTTCTTCAAGTCAGAGAAGACTAGAAGTAAAAACAAAACAAAACAAGACTTTTTTTTGTAAATCTGTTTAGTTACCATATAGAAAAATAATTCCTATTTGGCTTAGATTTAGAATTACTAATATATTTAATTTTATAACTTTATATTAGAAATTTTTAATATGGGTTATTTTAGGAAAAAAGTTAAAATATCAAATTTCTCTATGTTCTGCCTAAAGAGAAAGTAATTATCTTGATCATGTAATTATTATTATAGTTGAAGAAATAACAGCTTATCAAAGTTAGAATTTTAAAAATTATAAATTTTAAAAGCCTACAGAGAAACTAAAGATCTCTGACAATTTCAACTTAAAACAATTACATCTCTGGCTCCAACACAATTTTCAGTTTTTTCTGTAATGATTATAACAGTATATACAATTTCTTAATGAAATAGGACGACTCCAGAAATAAAGAAATTACCTGGAACAGTTTCCACAGTCTAATACACCACTGAATGATTTACTATCGTTATCGAAGAAATACTGGGTTTGTTCAGTAATGCAGCTCTGCTTTGACAGGGAGGCTGTAAAGTCATCATCCTCCATCTCAACTTGGGTGGGGAGAGGGGGGTAAAAACAAAGAACACCATTAGGAGGGGCCACTGTAGTCAGTCCCCTGGAGTCTTCACTTCTCACAGAGCAAAATAAATGTCTAAGACCAGGAGGCCTGGACTGGCTTGTTTACTGCTGTGTAATATCGTGGCAGCCCGTAATAGATGCCTGATAAATATCAATAGAATAAATTAATTTAAATACATGATGGCTCTGAGATCAAGGCCAATGTGACCTAAGTAAGACATTAGGAAAGGTTGGACAAAAAGTTTCTAGCTCTAAAATTATGAGATGGGTGATCTGTTTTCTCTTTGTCACACAAATATTCTCTGAATTTGCTGAACTCAAGCATATCCCCCCAAATAATTTTTATTGTTATGACAGTAACAAGGTCTGAGCATTTACATACCTGCCTCAAGGAGTCGTGGAAAGGTCAAACTCAAGAGAAACTGCTGTAGAATAGACCTGAATTTTTCAAAGAAAAAAAGAAATAATAAAAATCTAGGGAAAAATGTGTTTTTACATGCACACATACACATACTGTTTCCCTTCATCTTTTTGGAAAGGACAGTCTAGGAGTGTTTTTATTTAAGTATTTTTAAAATTATATAACACATTGTAACCTTTCTTGAATGTGTCAAAGAAGTCATGAAATCAGAAGTGTTCAGATCTTGTTCTGGACCAAGTGAGACACAGTGTGTTAAGAAGCCTAATAGGCAATATTATCAAGCAGAAGTGTTCACTCTAAGAAGGAGAATGTCAGTGTTTCAGCACATAGGTTTTTACATTCATTACATCTCCTTATTTTAGCTTTTAAAACCATTCGTTTTTTGAATTCCTCCCGCCCCCAACAAAGAAACAACACTGTTTATACCATGGGTTTGAATTTGTTAACTATTTACTTTGTAATACAGAAAATATTTGTAAATATGTAATGTAACTTTCATGAAACAAAATATACAGATTATATAGAGAGATATGGCACATTTCAGTTTTATAGTAACTGACAACTGAGCCAAATTTCTAGAACTGAATTTAGTTTAAAACAAGTGGGGGTGGGAGGGGATATAGGATAAAGAAAGTATTTCAGGGTCATGATGAAATTTTAAAAGCCTACTGAAATTAATATATAAAATCACATCAGAAAATACCATTTTTCAGAATAAAATAGAATTTTCTAAATCTTTCAAAAAATCTCAAAATTTTAAAATCCTAAAATCTTCTTTGCTGCTTTAATGATATCATCACTTAATTTTAGCTGGGCAAACCTCAACATCAAATGAATATTGTACATTAATCTACGTGGAATAGGGCTAACAATACAGTGTGATGATACCAAAAAAAAAAAAAAAAAATCAGAGGGGAGAGAGGGAAGAGGGAGATCATGGATCCCAGACGTAACAGGTTTAGTTACAACTAAACAATAAGAAATGTGATCTTCCAGACTTTCCATAGTGCCACAATTGACCATTTGAATGTCTTATTTTCATAGGTTGTAGGGTCTACAGGTGAGGGACGGGGGAGGTTTGGAAGGCAGAATCGGTGAAAAGAAACAATTAGATCCATTTCAACAACATGATGCCCCTAAAACGATACCAGTACTTGTATCAATAGTAAAGAGGTAGAAGGTTGCCATCATGCCATGAATTTGATGCATGCAGACATCCAACTTGGATACTAAAGACAATTAAATTGTAACTTCTTACAGATCAATACACCTAAAATTGGTGTAATACTTTTATAAATAATACAAATGAAAAGAATTTCAATAGATGTGTAGAGGAAAGAAGACTCTAAAGAGGTTGCAGTTTACATCCACATAACATTGTTTTCATATGAGAAACTGAATAATGGTAATTTTATAGTGTTCACTTAGGAAAAAATATCAATATTACCAATAAGTGATGCAGAGAATTAAAAAACCTTAACTCTCTTAATAAAAAATTTGAGTGTCCCCTAAATCCATATTTTCATCAGATGCTTTTCTATTTTACAACTTCTTTCATTACCAATAAAACTAAAATTTTGACCTACCAGGCAGCAGCAGTGGCCCACCAGCCAATTTGTAATATGTCTGCTATTGATGGCTATAAAATAAAATAATAAAGTCATTTCAGTAGTCTACTTGATACTGAGGACACTTGAGTATCCTCTCGAGAAGAATTGATTAGACTGTGGATATTACTGACCACATATGCTGAGCGATGTCCTGCTCCTTGTTTTGGTGCAGCACCAGGCTCGCATACTGACTGATAATCATAAGATTTGTTAAAAGCATAAACTGATATATTAACCAGGTGTCTCATCAAGCTGGGATCAATCTCTCCAAAAAATCTTCCAATCTGGTGAAGAAAAAAATCATAAAGCAATGTGTACTTAAAATGTAAGTCAAAAATGAACATTGGAATCACCACTACAGTGAACAGAAATAATACAGAGAAACTGAACTACAACCGAGGAGCTTAAAAACAAAAGCAAATGAGAACCTGTATATGACACTGTGAACAAATTAAAATGAGAGCCAAGTGTTCTCATTACTCAGTGGGGCTGTGTGATATCTTATTTGTGGCAGGAAGGGACACACATTACTAAGCACTAAATCACAATCAAATGCCTCCCAGATGAATAAAACAGGGGTGGGGAATGAAGAGGTATAAGTCAAAGGGTACAAAGAAGCAGTTATGTAGAATGCATAAGCCTAGAGATTCAATATACAACAGAGGACTGTAGTTAATAATATTGTTTTGTCTACCAGAAATTTGATGAGAGTAGATTTTAAGTCTTCTTACCATACTGCAAAAAAGGTTAACAACCTGAGATGATGGATATGCTAACTGGCTTGACTTCAGTAATCACTTAACTATGCAAATCAAAACATTTTGTTGTACATCTTAAACATATACAATAAAAAAAAAAAAAAGATCAAATGCCTCCATGGGGAATGGAAAAGTAGCATAAATGAGAGAGCAGGCTGGCCTAGAAAAAGAACTTGTAGGGACTGTGATGAACTGGAACAAGTCCCATCTAAAGGGGCAATCATGAGTTAATCAGCTTCAGCCCATAAACACTGTCATCCAGAAAACAAAAAAAGCCCAGTGTTGAGATCTCTTTTGCTTTTTCCAAAAAAGAGAAGCCAGGAATACAGATTCAGAAGCGAAATTAGTTGGCATCTAATTCAAATTTGTTAAAAATCTTGTATGAGGTAAATAGCCTATGTGCTGCTAATTTGCAGATTTGAGACTAGAAATCACATCAGTTTTAACCAGCTATATATTAAATTAGATATCATCAACTGACAAATTTTGAAGTGAAAATTTTCTAAATATCTGAAAGATTAAAAAGGTCATATCATGCTAAAATTCTGAACTGTATGTTTTAATGATACCAGTACTAAAATGTAAAATCAAATAACATAAAAACTAGACTTAGCACACCTTTCTTAATGGTTTACATAATATTAAGCATTTTACAAATTATTTTATGATAGAAACAAAACATCTCATCAATTTCTAAAACACTGAAAGAGGTTTTGTAATGTTGATCAGGGAAACACACTTTGGAAAGCCTAATTCTCTCTTATTTCAGGCACATACCTGATTAGTATAATCATCATGATTTGCCATCAAAAGAAACCCTCCGTCATCCAGAATTACACAATCCATCACCTACAAAAATAAAATGAACAGTTAACACATTTTTAGAAAGGTTTGGAGGTTGTATTGTCTTTACCCCATTATATGTACATGATTAGAGCAATAAAAAATAGAAAATTTTAAATGACTATCTTCTCTTGAACGTATATATATGTTCATGAAATTCTGGTGAAATAAAGGCATGCATAGATTCATATCAAACCATCACGCTTGATAATCCAACACCAACCATCCATTTGAGACTGTCAATTCAGTCTGAACAAATCATAAAAGCAAATTCGAAATAATCTTTTTACCACTTTCGTGTCATCTAAATGATCCAGAAAAGTGGATAATTATTTAATAATGAATAACTGATTTAAGCACATACTTAGGATTTCAACAAAAAGATATTTTAAAAAATATCATTTTAGTTATCCTGTTTCACAGACTTAAAACACGTCAGTACTATAAGACTATAATTATTTCATATTTTCAGATTGAAAATATGTAGTTGGATAATTGGAGATTTAAAAGCAAAATGCAAAACAAAAAATGTCCATGGTTAAGAAAATACTTAATTCACCCTGAAACATAGGATAAATTCCTACCTAGTTTAAATCATGTTTTAATGTATGAAAATCAATATAATTTGTATTTAATAAAATCACAAATAAAAACATTGTTTTCAAAGTTGAGGATGTAATGCATTGCATTTTCCTAATGTTGAAGCAGCTTATTACTAAATTTTTTGCTCTTAAAACAGCTACTGCATAGTCTATGTCAAATAGATAAGTTACAAAAGTCATTGAAATTATTGGCTCATAATTCCACACGAGTAGAAGTGATAAAGATGATATAAACCGCCTGTTTCCCTTGGAGATATGCAGACACACATAAGAGGACTGGAAGAAAATATCGTTTCATCATTGTTACTCAATTTTTAGAATTAGAGCATCTTCAACTTTTGAACAAAGTTCACATTTCCTTTTTCAATTTCTCAAACAGATGTGAAAGTAATACAAGACAACTTAAAACTCAATCCATGTAACTAGAACTTTATAATAAACTGAAATACTTCTGGGTTTAGTTAAAAAAAATTTTCCTATAACTATATAATACAGTGTGAACAAATTTAGAGAAAGTGTGATAGGTGAGAGAAAACTGCATTGATAACCAATAGGGATGCTTTGGTTAGAAACTTCCTATCCAGAAATAGAGCTAAACATAAATATGTGCAAAAGAATGTAACACCGTTGAGACTGAAGAGAACCATCACATTGACATGACTACTTTTTTAACCTTCCAAGGACATATACATATTTTTAAAAATTCAAGCATTTCACATTCAAAATCAAAAGCATATAAATTCAAATGAATATATTATTTCACATTTCCGTAGAATTTTTTAGCCTTTGATTAAAAATTCCTGCATATTTTTTTGTCATCATTCTAGTCTTAGCAAGACTAACACAGGGAAATATTGTACTCAAAAGTGATTTTAAACAGTTTTCTTACATCACTGTTTCTTTTGCAGTCACAAACTGGACCAGCACACTGAAAGACAAAAAACCGATTATTACATTTTTTTTAGCAGTTGGATTTTAATTACATTATTACCATGTTATAATTAGAAATTCTGGAATAATTTAGCCAGTAGAAAAATGAGATTAAACAGTCTAGTCCATAAGAAACATAAGTTTTATCTTTAAAATTAGAAAATGTCAATCAATATATAAACTAGCATTGCATGTTGTAACCTTGAAATACTTTTATTACATATTGACTAATTTAAACAAAAAGCTTTGAAAAAATAGGAATTCAGAATTCTGCTTCAGTGTAGTGGTACTGAGAACGTATTTGCCTTATGTTTATTTGTATAAAGACCTTATTTTTTTTCTACTGAATTTTGAAAACATTAAATATAGCATAAGAATTTTTTTAAACTATCTTACCGGATCTCTGATTGAGGTTTTGGTGAAATTCTCTATCCAGGAATTTACATCGATTTTAATTCCAACAACTGAAAAATTAATTTGAATTAATTCAAAGGCATAATTACCTGTAATACAACCTTTGCAATATGACAGTTTGTTTTTATAGCAAGTATCAGATTATAGTTTATTACAGAAGTTTTAGTCTTTTGTTCTTAAGAAATAATGCTAATAGCTCTTAAACTATTACATAAATTGTAATTTATATTCACAAAGAGTGTATTCATTAGCCGCAACCTGACCAATTAACTAATACAATAAGCTAAATAAAAAACATTAGTGTCAGGAGAGCCTCATAAACTTGAGGTCATTCAAATGGTATATTTTAAGAGGTTTCCCTAACTCCACCAGTGCTTGCAGTAGGTGCTTAATAAATCTTGGCTGAAAGAGTGAACAGATGAATGGATGAGTAGGTGGGTTAGTAGGAGAGTGGGTGAATAAATGAATGGCTGAGAGAATAACTGATTTAGTAAGTAAATGAGCAATTGAGTGAATGAAGGAATAGGTGGATGAATTAGTAAGTGATGCAGTGAATTAATGTAATAGATCCACTGATGGGGTAAAGCTGCCCTCAGGAGCAGGAAGGCTCAAAATACTCTCCTTTATAACTTCAAACACTGAATCATACAATCAAAAAAAACTAATAGCTTTAACCTTATTGTATGCACTCCCTCTAGCCCACTTCCGATACTCATTGATGCTCACTTTTACTATGTTTGTTTACTTGCCTATTTTTCCAAAAAGTCGTTTTTCTATATATTTTATAGCAAGTTTTTAACTTAGCCCTACTTAATTCACTTTAACAGACACCTAGTAGAATATAATATAATTATGCCATATTTATCTTTTCCCTCAGGGCTGGAAACTTAACTTTTTTGTACAAATATGTAACTCCTTGGCCATATAACTTTGTATGTATTTTAAAGTATTAAGAGAGACTTCTGGAGTGGGGTTGCTAATCCAACATTAAAAATTTTTATTATTATACTAAACTGATTCCATAAATTTGTCTCAGACTATAAACATACACACAGTTTTGAAAATTTCTCAAATCTATGTAGTATCAATTTGATTTTATCCCAACTTCATAGGTAACTAGTTACATTTTATTTAATTTTTTAAGTATGCATGCCTTTGTTGTTTGAGACCTTCTGATGACCTTGATAAACACTGCCAGTTTATAACATAAATGCCAAGTAACATTTAATTTTGGTTGTGTTTTTGTAATTAATATGTATCCTTACCTGCAGGTTTAAGAAGTTTCCCTTGAATATATATTTCTACAGCTTTGCTTACCATAATGCCCGATTCATAGGCACCAGGTCCACTTTCTAAAAAATAAATAAATAAACACCTATCAAGATGTATTGATTAATAATATTGATTTTCTGTCGTTAGATACAGATGGATAGTATTTTGCTTAAAAATTCTAGCATCTATAAACTATAAAAATGTTTGTGCTCTCCTTCCTCTCTTCTTCCTTTGTATATACTAGGCTAACTGGTATATCCATGAATTGGTTTGTATTCATTGATTCGGGGGCATTAATTAGCTTGGTTACATCTGCTTTCACAACAATTGTTAAAATATTAGGGAGTTCTGCTGAAGTGAAGTGGAAAGATTGATTTTGGATACATAAAACTGACTTTGTCTAAGATATATGTCACTGGCAAAACTTTGAAATTCTCTGAACTTGTTTCCCCATTTATGAAAATAAAGGTAAATAGTACCTATGTGCAAAGACGTTCAGGGATTAAATTACAAGGTTTTTGGGAAATAACTCAAAATATTTTAAAAGATAAGCTATTAATTGTATAATTATATAATTAATACTGATAAAATGTAATTAGTCAATGAAATTACTCTACTTTATTTAATTCCTTAAATGTTTTTCAATACATTTTCAGTTGTAATATGAGGGATTATCTACATGTGTTTCTACTTCTTATGCATGCCTGACAGATATGCTATCTCTAAATTATTGGAAGACTGCTGTGTATGTATTTTGCCTCTTCAACTAAATGATGTTTCTTTTCTATTTTCCTAATGCCTTGCAAATACTCTATTTTTAATGATGACTATTCTGAGTAGTTGACATAAAATGTAGTGACTTTGGGGGAAAGCAGATAGTAGCAATAATTTATTTTTAAGAAGATTGAGAAAAGCTGAATTCCAAAGCAATACTTACTGTTAAAGTAGGGAGCAGTGAAAACATAGTTATCATTATCTAGGCTCCTTTTATAGAAGCTGTCCTCATATGTCTCTGGGTTTTCTTGCCAATTTTCTCCAGCCCTAAGGAGGAAATGGCTCATCATTTGTATTCTTTAATCTATCTGATAACCTACTTTATCCTATGTGGACTTGCTGAGCTTTACAGATACGCCTACATTTCAGGTATGTCTAAAGAAGTTATGGTAATTGATAGCATAACTGATACTCATTACTGAGCAATGCATCAGCATAGCACTAAATTAAGAATCAGAAAAAGCTAACTCCTAGTTTTACTCCATTGTTTACTAGTCAGGTAGTAGGACAAGTAAGTTAATATGTCAATTAATGTTAGTAAGCATTGGTGACTATTCAACCTACTTCATGAACTGTTATGAAGATAATAGAGACAAGATGCATCAAAGAAGAGTGAAAGACCATGAAGTGCTACATAAATATTGCTGATAGGCTATAATCATTGTGCTCATTTCGCTGGTTTAGCTCATATCTACAAAGAGAAAAATCTCTTTAAATGTCTTTTAAATTTGGTAATAAATATATTTAGCAAGCATTCCAGAATTTTATAATGTCATTTTTCAGAGACATAAAATCTTTTAATAATGTAAATACTGTAAACAATGGCTCCAATGTAATCTAACGGCAATCAGTTTATTTGAAGAATAGCTTCCTTATGCTGTAATGTACAAATCTTTGGTGCAGTCTTTTGTAATGTATTTGTTTTTACAGATGTTATTTGACTTACTCTTTGGGATAAACTCTGGTAATCCCACCATCAGTCACAACAAATCGTGCTTTCACTCCCTTGCTGGAACAGAAGACAAAAGAAGGAAATGTTCTATTGAACATATTCTAAGATACAAAGTTAGGTGTTGGTGATACAAAGAGAAGTAAGTTTCTAAAGTAAAGAAAGTAAATATATCAATAGATGCACAACAATGTTTTAATAATTTAAATTATGTATGAAATTTGTTACTTGAAAGCTGTTTAAGGAAGACATCTCATAGGAAAATAATGACTGAGGTGCATTTTGAACACGGAATATGAATTGACAGCAATGACACAGAAAGCAGGAAGGTATCACTTGTAGAGAGGAAAGTATGTATAAGGGAAAGCTACCAGAGATGGCTGTTGTTTGGTATAGAAAAAAACATAAAACAAAAGGAGAGAAACAGTAAGAGGTAAAGTTTCAAGTACAAGTTACTCAATGGTCAGCTAATGAATGATTTTGAATTCCATGTCAGAGAGCTTCACCTGTATCTTGAACTTAGAACTGCATTTTAGGAGTTAGATTCTGGTAAATATGAATTGTATGGAGAATTGACTAGGAGCTGCGTGTGGAGGAATGGAGAACATTAAAGGCAGAAAAATCAGTTGCTGTGATTTCTTAGAAATGGGATCTTAGGGCCTTGATTATGAGGTAGAGAAGAAAACATTGCTAGGAGAAATATTTAGCATTTAGTGACTGAAAATGGGGTGGAGAAGAGATTATAAATAAGAATCATATTCAGATTTTCTTGACTGGATGTATGGTAGTGCTATTAGAAATCCAAATAAACACTGACTAGAAATCCTACTTCAGCACAAACAGAAACACACAATCATGCCAATTTAATTTGGTTTATTCACCCTGAAGTGTATGTGCATGAAAAGCTGAGTAATGGCAGACACTAGTACTGAAAAACACCCACAAGTGAAAATGCAAGTTGTCAACAACTGTACAGTGATTTTCTTGAGAAATAATTATCAAATATTACTAATGAACTGTAAATTTTTGAGACTCATACCCAACTTCCACAGGAGAAACGAAACTGAAATGCAGAATATATACTTTTATTAATAAGAACAAATACTTACATATTTTTCTGCTTACTCCAGTAATTTTGGACAAGTTCATTTGTAAAGCCTGCATCAAGCAAGACTCTATTAATCAAATCTGTGTTACCTAACACAGAAAAAGGAGATCATCAGTTACACTCACAGTTCTAAAATTATGATCATAATGAAAAATATATTTTCTATTTTCAAAAGCAATTTAGATATTTCTATGAATTTTAAAATATATTCCATATTCATTTTCTTTGTAATTTTTATATTGTTTATCTTGCCTCACATTTTCCAGGAAATAAATGGATTTAGTAGCAGAAAAATCAATTCTAAATGAGACAAATTATTTTGTAAACTTTATCAAAATATGAAATAAGCTATGTTAAGAAACAGGAAATCGTCTTTTTGTTTTTGTGATTTCTGTATGGTAGCATGGTGATTCCCAACCACTATAATTTTGTGACAATTTAATGTATACACACACATCAAATTTTATATATGTATATAAAATGTATATATATAGAAACAGAACTACCTCTGAAATTATCAAGTAAAAACATTCAACAAAAAGTTACTGTCTACTTTCACTTTCATTGTTATAAGAAAAGCTATTTTCATTCTTTTCTATCACAAATATCAAAACAGGATAATCTTGGAGTAGATAAGACTATGAAAAATTCATTGCCACCCACTGAGGAGCAAGGAATGGAATGAATATCACAGAGCAGTACAATCCCAAGAATGATTTTGAAATCTACTGGTATTGGTCACAGAACCAATACCAAAGTAGATAATAGGTTGTCATTTCTGGAACAATTGAAGTGCATATTAGCCCAAGTTTAAAGATAATTGAGGAAACAGATGATGAGGATCAAAGGTCAATTATTACATATTCTTAAGCAAAAACCTCTGCCTTCTTCCCATTCTCCTTGTTCCTCTCAACCCATTAAGCTCTGAAATAACCTAACAGGTACCCTCTGAAATTTCACATTTATGATAAAATTTGACTCTTTTCAAATAAAGAATATATGTTCTTAACATCCTATTACGATACAAGGTGGTGGTGAGATAGGCTGGAAACATTTTTGTTGCTTTTAATTATTTTAAATTAATATGCCTTACACCCAGGATTAAAGCATCAATTTAATCCCTAATTTGGAGTAAATTTTAATTCATTCTAGACACTCTTTTTTTTACTATATTATTTTAGAAACTGAATCATTAAAAAAACACTTCATTTGGAAAGTCAATGTTCTAATTGCCTCCAATCCCTTTAGGTAAAACAAAATAAATAGATATAGATATAAAAATTGGATTAAAATAAGTGATTCCAATTATTTTGGAATAAAAAGGAGTGATTCCAATTTTCACGGTGTTCTGAAAAGTTGTATGTT